CCCTAAACCCTAAACCCGGAGCCTTAAAACCCTTATTTTGTTCAGTAAGGCCCTATGTTTCGGTGTGGGCGTGGATGTTGTTCGGATTTGAGGGCGCAGTGTTCATTGCCCCGGCACCCCGCAACTACCCTTCAATAGGGACCTTCTTGTCCCTGCGTGGTGAGTCTTTAGGCATGCATGCATGCATGCATGCATGCATGCATGCATGCATGCATGCATGTATGTGTTTGTGCAACGATAGATAGATAGATAGATAGCTAGATAGATAGATAGATAGATAGATAGGTCGATAGATAGGTCGATAGATGGATAGATAGATAGATGGATAGACAGATAGATCGATGGATGGATAGATGGATAGGTGGATAGACCGATCGATCGATAGATAGACAGAAGGATTAAACAGATTAGATAGATTGATGGATTGATTGGTTGGTTGAGTTGGTTGATTGACCGATCGATGCACAAGAACCGGTGCCGTTTTTGCATACCCTAAACCCTAAACCCTAAACCCTAAACCCTAAACCCTAAAATGAAGACGCAACAAGTAGGATCCCTGTTCGAGGAGTCCAAAGTTTCGGCATTTCGATCACGTGCTGCGGACAGCCAGGGGGTCGAGAAAGTGGCGGTTCGGTATCTTCGATGCAAGAGTTCATGATCTAAATCCGGCATTACCTTAAGGACTCTAAGCTCTGGGAATTATGGTATATTCCTTACTATGGGTAATGCAGGATTTATGTCATCAACCGTAGGGTTTGGGGTTCAAGGTTCTAGGAATTGGAGTCAAGGGTCGAGAGTTTGGGTTTAGGGTTTAATTAGGGTTCAAAGGTTGAAGGTTTAGGGGTTTAGGGTGTAGGGTTTGTGCTTCAAGGTTAAAAATACTAGTGGTGTATGGCAGTTTTCTTGGCCCCTAATAAACCCTAAACCTTGGATACTGCCCCCACTCAGTGACATTTGGGTAACATTCATAATATGGATATATAAGCCCCTTAATAGTAGCCCTATGATAGACTGTTACTGTATGGGGGCAGTATCCAACCTAAACCCCTCAACCCTAATCTCCTAAACCCTAAACCCTAAACCCTAAACCCTAACCCCAAACCCTAACCCTAAACCCTAAACCTTAAGTCGGAAGTCCTTAAGCCCTGGACCGCAAGTCCCACGCGGCCACCTGGCCTCCAAGTCCTAAGGCGCTGAAGCCTAAACCCTGCTAGGGTTTTGATGGGTATTGGATTCGGAATTTAGGTTTCTCAGTTTCAGAGTGTATAGGATGTAGGCAGGATGCATGCAGGAGGGTCGAGAAGACTGGGGATTGCTGCGAAAACTCACCCCAAAGCCCTCTGCAGGTATGAGGGGCTGGTGCTCAAAAGCGCTGCGATTGGCCCCTTCGATTTCGAAGTGTGGCTGTATAGCGATGGACGAATCCTCTACTTGTTGGAGGAGTTCCCCACCACCAACCTCACTGCCCTGGAAGGCACGAAGGGTTGAAGGGTTTAGGAGTTCAGGGTTTAGGGTTTAGGGTCCATTCTAAACACGAAGGGCCCTCAACCTCGTTCTTTGGCACTCCAATTCCTGATTTGAAGGCCGCTGCAAATCCCCAAACCTCATACCTTGCTCGAAGTCAACAGAAACCCTAAACCCTTGATAGCACCCCTGAAGGAACCCTTACAGCAAACCCTCTATCAGGCCGGATCCTTCAAGCTTCAATTCTATCGGAATCTATCCACGCCACTGTTCCCTGCCCCTATTGCAGGGTTTAGGGCGTAGGGTCTGTGTGGCCCTAAACCCTAAGCCCTAAACCCTAAACCCTAAACCCTGCCTTTAGGGTTTAGGGCTTAGGGTTTGGGGTTTATTTGGGCGCTGAACCATGTTCACCCAGAAGACTCCTAAACTTCTGACCCCCGCAGCCGAATCCACTAATCCTTGAATCGTAAACGTGATGCAGCTTTGATTTAATAATAAAAATATTAGTAAGGATAAGAATAACCATAATACTAGTAAAAATACATTATTAGTTTTAAATACATATATATATATATAATTTTACATACACATATACATATATATATATATACATACACATATGTGTGTTCATTTATTCGCTTGTTTATTGCATCTATCCCCGAAAGCCTAAGCTGGGGAAAGGCATTGAGGTTTCAAAGCTCCATAGCCCTCCCAAGCCCCCAACCCTACGCCCTAACTGCCCCAAAAATCCAAAACCCTCAACCTTAAACCCTAAACCTTGAACCCTAAATCCTAAACCCTACGCCCTACCTGCCCCAAAAGCCCCCGACCCTGGAAAATCAAGTGTCGAGACCCTTACACGTCCTGAGCCAGAAATCCGATCAAGCGCCTGAGAAAAAAAACCTGTAAGCCCTAAAGCCCTACATCCTCAAACCCCTAAGCCCTATAGATAGCCTATAAAGCTTTACATCCTGGACAACCCGAAACCTCTAACACCCGCAACCCTCGAACCAAAATCCTTCCAACCCTAAACCCTAAATCTTGCACCCATTCCAGTCCTCCAAACAGGCATTCAGGTCGGCGCACAGCCAGCGACTGGCGCGAAACTGGGTTCTGTTTAAAGAATTGAACTTAAGTTACCATAATAGGGATCTATAGTGAATAATATGGTTTCCTTATTATGGTTCAGTTAAACTAAACCCCTTAACAAGAACTCAGGAAAGCCTTGAGCATCGGCTCCTCTTTGCCCTGGTCCTCGGGGGCTCCGCTGGCAGTCTCTTGGGTTTATTTAGGGTTTAGGGCTTACGGCAATCGGGTCTCAGGGCTACCTATAGTCTCCATTGTAGTTGCTCTTTTGGGTTACCTTATAGGATCCTAAACTGTAAGATTGCTTTAACCAAAAAAGGGAGCTAGAATGGAGAAAATTAGTAGGGCTTAGAGTCTAAAGCCTAAGACTGAAATGCTTATATTCTCGAGGGTTGCTCCGTTTGGTGGTTTCTTAAGAAGCCCTAGCATTTTGGTGATGATGTGTCAGGTCCCAACTTATCTCCGTGGATAACATTTCTCATGATTGTAAGGGCACCTGTCTGATCTTTCTGTCTCACTTTCGGCGTTCACGACTCAGAGTCCGATTCACCATAGAGGCTCTCGTCTCGGGGGTTTAGAGTCAGCAAGTTAAAGGGGATTCGGGCATCGCATGTCGCCGGGGAGGCTATTCGGGGGTTTGAAGGCTTGAGGATCGTTTTTCGTAACCCTAAACCCTTAACCTTTAACCCTACTTAAACCCTAAACCCTAATTCAACCCTAAACCCTAACCCCTAAAGAGTCCTCATGTTGCTGGCCTCATGGCTTGACTTATGGAGTCTGGGAAACGGTGGCTTCTGCAGCGCATATCTGGAAACCAACTTTGGATGTGCCCGCGACAGCATTTCCATCTATGCACGACGCCCGAGACTCTAAATGATAAGTCATTCCTAAACCCTAAACCCTAGACTCTAAACAAGTGATCGACTTCTGGAAGAGTCTTGACTTTTGACTTCGCCGTCGAGCTAAACCCAAGCAGCCCAGGTTTCTTTGACTCCCTGGTTCATGCTTCGCGAGAACGGCAACACTGTGATTGCCCCGAACCAATCCGTCACTATCAGCTTCGCTTTTGAACGCCAGGCGGGAATGGTAATGTAGGGGCCTCAATAATTAGAATAGGGTTTTTGGGGTTCCTTATCATAATTATAGTATAATGTACCCCAAAGCCCTATTCTAATTGTTAAGGCCCCTATATGAAGCTCCCGTGTTTTCAATCTACCTGCAGCAGTGGTGACAGATGTCAGCAGTTCGTCGAATCACAGCTAGTAACAGTAAAGAGCGCAACCATTCCACTAGGGGGTTGTGGGGTTCCTTTAAAGGGATCTATAGGGGTCTATAGGGGTTCCTTTAAAGGGATCTATAGGGGTTTAGGGTTTGGGCTTACAGGTCCTTACATTCATTGCCAGATGATGTTTCAACACCATTTGAAAAAAAAACACTAGGGCTACCCAGTAGTACCCCTGTTGCCCGTTTGATTTTAGGGTCTCCTTATGGAAATCGAAAAGTAGGAAAACGGGTACCCTTAACTATTCAGGGTCGAACTGCTAGGCCGATCTCGCTGGCTGGCTGCACTTCTATGCAGATGCTTGGCTTCACAGCATGGCCTTCGTCTGAGGCGGCTTGAAGTACAGGGTTGAGCGTTTAGTTTAGTGGTTTATGGTTTAGGTTAGGGTTTAGGGTTTTGGGCTGCAGAGTGACTTGGTTTTGGGCTCGGGTTTCTGGCGGGTTTGGTCAGTGGTTCAATGGCTTCGTTCGTGGTGTTTTGGACGGGGTCTGGTCAAGTCTCAGTCTCTGATTAGGTTTTATGTTTTTGTATGTGTGATTACAAGGTTTCATCCCTCTGGCAGTCTTGAGCAGAACATTTTCAGCGTATACCGCGGCCGCATGTATCAGGAGTCAATCGTAGCAGGAGCCTAGTACCACAATTAGCATTGGTATAAGGCAGGTTCGTTCCTACAACAGAATTGAACCTAATCTGTGGCCCCGAATCCTACAAAAGAATAGGTTCTGACCCATTGATTGCCGGGTAGTGGCCCTAAGACAAGAGGCAGTTGGATCCACTGGTATAGCATAGGGTTTAGAGTCTAGGGTTTAGAGTGTTGGGTTTAGGGTTTAGGGCTGAATTTGAAAGCTTCTGCCCAGGAGAAAAGTATTGGGATTTGGCACCCGCGTCGCAATGTCCGCTTCACACAACGCCTGTTTCGCCACTCGGAGTGTGCATCCGAGTACTCGAAGGGTTTACGGTTTAGGGGTTTAAGCGATGGTGGTGGTTCAGTTGTTGACCATGCGTCTGATTGTGTATACGACCATCGTACTCGTACTCTGCTCATGGCTCCTCGCTGATGATGACCGTGAAGATGACAGTGTTAATGGTGATCGCTACGGTAGATGATGGTATAAATCACTGGTTGCGCATGATGATCGAATGCAGGCAGACTGCCGATGTGTTTTTGTCCCCTGAGATGCTGTGCTGCTAAGGCCATATGTGGATTCTCAGCACGTGGGACGGTGGCTTGCACTCGGGTTCCTGTGCCGGCGGCTTCGTTAGGCGCCGGAACAGAACCTGCATGGGTAGCGACGGCCTAGAGTACAACGACAGCTACTGTGTCGGCACTTGCATGGACCTAGATCCTGTGCACAACTGGGACTATCCGACACGGCATGCCTGGTCGGATGGCTACAACAACCGATGCGAAGATTACCATGCTTTGGCTTTCTGCACTCCGACAGGATATGGCACCAGATGGGAGTCCTGGTGGGGCAAGTTCGTGGATTGGACCACGCAAGGGCTGGACGCTGGAGAGGCATGCTGTTTGTGTGGAGGAGGTACTTATGCGCCAGAGCTGCCCCCAACGGAAGAGAAGTGTCCTTCAGTCAACTGCCCAGCAAACTCGAACGGCACCAGTGTTCTACATGGCTGCATTTGCAATGCAGGTTATGCGGGGGCGATCAATGCCTCAGCAGACTACCCTTACTTCACCGGCACTTGTGCAACAGTTGCTTGCCCCAAGTATTCGTCAGGTGCGCATGTTGCAGCTGGCTGCACGTGTGATTACGGCTACATCGGAATCATTGTCGCCACCAGTGCTGACCCCTTTTATGAGGGTGTTTGTGTGGCAACGACCACTACGAGCAGCACCTCCAGGACAGATACCACTTCTACGGCTACCTTTACCTCCAGCACGGGCACTTCCACAACAAGCAGATCTACCACTGCCACCTCCCGTACGGTCACCACCAGCACAGCCACCGCAACGAGAACCACCAGCGCCACTCAGACCAGCACAACCTCCACCACTTCAATTTCACAGACGAGGACCCGGACGACCGCTACACTTTCAACCACTACGAGCACCTTCACTGGTAGTTCATCGAGAACTGCAACTTCGACTACTTCAACTTCCCAAACAAACACCATCACCACGGTCACCCTGTCGACCACTGCGAGCAGAACCAGCAGCACCAGCAGCTCCAGTAGCACTTCAACCTGGACCAACTCGACCACCACCACCACCGCCACTCGAACGACGACCCTGTTCTCCAGGACGCCTAAACCCCTAAACCCTAACACCCTAACACCCTTAACCCCTAACCCCACCTAAACCCTAAGCCCTAAACCTTTAAGCAAAGGGGATCCGCAAAAGCACAGTGACAGAGGGGTTAAAGGCCGACCCTTCATTAAGACATTTTAAATACTTTCGAAACTGAATCCCCCGACGCATGAAGCCCTTGGCCTTTAGGGGGGGGGTCTAGGGTTTAGGGGTTTAGGGTTTAGGCCTTCATTATTTAACGCCATCTCATACTCTAAGGGTTTAGGGTTTTTAGGCCCTCAGCCGTACAGCCGCAGGGCACCGAATGGGATTCTCGTGGTTTCCAGCTCGGAAAGCCCTGCAACCTCCGCTCCTCCATCGGAAGACTCTGATGACTGGCCCCTTCGACGAAGATAGACCGGGTACCGGAGTACCATACGGTTGATGATATACAAATCCTGCATTACCCCACAGTAAGGCATATACCATAATTCCCATAGTTTAGGAGCCTGAAGGTCATGCGGGATTTGTATCATCAACAGTACTTCAATACCTTCTTTGATACCTGTTCCCTTTAAAAGGAGCCATTTTGGATGACATGGAAGTGTAGGCTTTCTTCTCCTTGGTTACTTCAAAGTCTAGCAGAGGTCTTCAGGGTCCTGGGATCCCTAAAACCGTATGTAAACCCTCAATACCCTAACCCATAGACCCGAAACCCTTATGATGGTAGGGGAATACATGGACTCTTCGAGGATGTGAAAGCTATGGGCTTTCGGGCTCTACCAGGGCTTGTCAGGGGTTTATGCCAACCATTCAGGACTCTTCGTTTAGGGTTTAGGGTTTCGACAATGTTTTCGAGTGTGCGGAACGGTTGATGATATAAATCCTGTATTACCTGAGGAATATACCATAATTCCCATAGTTTAGCGTCCTTAAGGTAATGCAGGATTTCGATCATCAACAGAAGTTCAGTGAGTCGGGGCTTTCCGATGGAGCAGCCTTGCGCTTCGATGGTTGACGGCCTTGAGAGTTCAGTTTGGCACATTCCAGCTTATGTTTCGTAGCGAAAGCAACAACCTAAACCTCAAAATCGACGACCTAAAACCTAAAACCTCATACCCAAACCCCTAAAACCCCTAAACCNNCCCCCCCCCCCCCCCCCCCGAGTTTCGATGTTTTAAGGGATGTTTTGGATCTAGGGTTGAGGGATGAATGTCTGGTAGCTTGCGTAAGTCTATAGTAAAGAGGTTTTCTTTGCTACTTAGAAGGTTTATGTTGGGCTTTATGGAGAACTCCTGTCATAAGCGGTTGTAGAAGAGTTCTATAAGGGTTTTATGGGGGGCCGTTAAAGCTAAAGGGTTTTGATGTGAGGCCCAAATAGCTCGCATGGTGTCAGGGAGGCATGCTACCTGAAAGTTATGTGGGGACGACTGGGGGCGCATGATTTCCGTTTCTTCAGGCCCCTACGTTGAGCTTGTTTAGGGTTTGAGGTTGTCTGAGGCTTAGGGTTAGTAAGAAACACGACTACTTAAATTAGTGTCAGTACTTTTGGGGGGATCCAAAAGAGACCCTAATCTAGAGAACCACCCATATTGCTTTCTCAAGATCAGTGAGGATTCCGGTTACTGTTCCAAGGATGCGGCCTACACCCTAGCTAGTGGGTTTAGGCTGTTGGGTCTTAGGTTCTTAGGGTCTTTGGGTCTTAGAGCCTTAGGACCTTTGGGTTTAGGCCCTTAGGGCTTAGGGTTTAGGGTTTCGGCTCACTTCTCCCAAATTTCCGATTTGCACGGTGTCTCCCCTTTCAGGAATGACTCGAATGTGCCGGCCTCAGCGTGAGGTGATTCCGAGAGATCGGTGGTGTGTAGTTGGGACTGTTTACGGCTCCGGGGCGTTCAGGGTTTAGCCTGCAGGCTTCGGGATTTAGGAGTTTAAGGTTTAGGGTTTAGGGTCTATAGAGTTCAGGATTTAGGAGTTAGAGGCTTAGGGTTTAGGGTCTACAGAGTTCGGGATTTAGGAGTTTAGGGTTGATTTGTTGAGATCTCTTATGCAATTTCCTTCGTAGACCATGTTCTCAGACTGCGTATGCTTCCATGCCCGTTCGGGCCCTGCAGTCGTGCCCCACGAAGTGCTCCTAAACGCAGGATCTAACCCCATGGACCCGAAACCAAAGATCCCTTTGTAAATGACAAACCAGGAATTCCAGAGCCGGCCGTTTAGGGTTTAGGGTTTTCGTTTGCAAACCAGAAAGCATCTGAAGCCCCAAGTGGCTAAGCCCTAAACCTTAAACCCTAAACCCTAAAAATCCTAAGCCCTAAACCTTAGACCCTCAACACTAAACTTAAGAAGCACAAGTATAACCTACACCTTTAAAAGAGCCAGCCCGCAGGTCTCCGAGACACGCGTCACTGAGACGACGACCTACAATGGAGGTCGGGTTTGGGGTTTAGGGGCTTAGGGTTTAGGAGTTTAGGGTTTAGAGAGTTTAGGGTTTAGGGTTTAGGGGTTTAAGGTTGGGGTTCAGGGGTTGAGGGTCTATAGGGTGTAGGGATGTCGCGTTTAGGATTGTAGGATGTATGGTTTTTTGATGTTGGGGTTAGGATATACACCGGGTTTAGGGAGTGTTTGTTTTGTGCTTCTGACCCTAAAGCCCGTAGCACCTGAAACCCTGGAACCCAAATATCCCAAAAAACCTAAACCCTAAACCCTAAACCGTATCCTAAAGCCCGTAACACCTGAAACCCAAAAGCCTAAACCATAAAGCCCTAAACCCTAAACCGCACCCTAAAACCCGTAACACCTGAAACTCAAAACCCTACCCTAAAGCCCAAACTACCGTCCGTCCGCTGTATCGACGGATGCAGGTGCCGGAGCCGGGGTCCAGTTCGGCGGTGCAGGCGCGTGCACCTGGTGTTTGGGGCTCATGATTCTTCCGACTTTCTTATCTATTCTACCAACATGACAATTAGCCGACGCCCTAAAGCCTAAAAGCCAAAAACCCCTAAACCCTAAACCCCCTAAACCCTAAATCCCTGAAGCCTACACCCTAAACCCTAAACCTTACACCCTAAACCCTACACCCTAAACCCTACACCCTAAACCCTACACCCTAAACCCCAAGCAGCAAAGCTCAAACCCTAAACCTGAAGTCCCCGACCCGAGCTGAAGTTTAAAAGCTGGTCGATGCGATCGCTTGCACTCTGGGTTTAGGGTTTAGGGTTTACTGGGTCCTTGTTGGATACAATTTTACATTTTTGTTATAATAAAACCCTAATAAGGATTAAAAATGATCATTTTTCATATATCCCCAACAAGGAACCAGTTTAGGGTTTAGGGTTTCCTTGCGATGCTGCAACCCAAGAGACCGGGAGGCCCACCTGTCCGAATCCCTAAGGCTGCATGGGGGTCGTTCTCTAAGTTAGGGTTTAGGATTCTTAGCGGTTTAGGCTTTAGGGTTTAGTGATTTAGGGTTTAGGGTTTAGGGTTGATGATGCAAATCCTGCATTACCCATAATGAGGAATATACCATAATTGCCATACTTTTGTGTCCTTAATGTAATGCAGGGTTTCAATCATCAACAGTAGTTCTGGTCCTTTTGGGTTCCTCTTTATGAGGGTGCCGTACTATACTGGGGACCTAAGAAGGGACCCTACTTTAGAGAACTACCCATGTACCTAGAAGAGGCCCTTTAAGGCTGTTTTAAACTTATGGCCTTTGAAGGCTTTAAAGGTAGTGTCGAGGGTTTTAGGGTTTAGGGGTTTAGGGTTCAGGGTTTAGGGTTTCAGATACAAGGCACCATATGCCGATTTAGTATTCACCTACGCCTGATAAAGTACTGCTTTCAAGTATCTACTATATCGGTACATGGAGCCGTGGGGGATAGAGGGCCCCTTGCTTTCTCACTGTCAAACTAGGTATCTGATGATAGTATGGTTACTTCAATGTTTCTCAAACACTTAGGATAGGTGTTGTGGAGTTTCTACAGAAGTATTTTTCGCATTCTTGTAGAGTCTTGGTAGAGTCTACTTGTGATGCTCCGAGCTAGGCAGCTAGGCATTCCCTCAAAGACACCATCGCACCAAGAAGCCTTGTAAGATTTATGACATACTCCCCCCTCTTCGACTGCGCATAAGCCCGGAAACAAGATGCTAACTGTCGACTTGTTTGGAAGTCAGATCTCGTGTGACCCCGGATAAATCGTTTCTGCAAAGAAATTAAGAAACACTCCCAAGAATGAGCCAGATCACATGCTCTTGTACCCCTGTATATATATATACATATATATATATATTTATTTAGCTATACATATAGATATAGATAGATAGCTAGATAGATAGATTGTATATACTCCCCAAAGCCTACGATTTTGAAAGAAGCCAATGGCACAGGCGACCTTACCGCCTCCTCTACTCTCTTCCCCGTGTTCGTGATGGTCATGCTGATCATTGTTGCGGCTCAACGGGCAGAGTTTTGGGTTAAAGACGTCCTTTATTACAGAAGTCGAAATATGTACAAGTTGAGCTTGTTTAGGGTTTAGGGTTTAACCCTAAACCCTAAACCCATCTTATAGTCAATGCTAGGGCTCAAGCTGTTTTGGATTTGGGTTCAGGGTCCAGGGCTGTGGCTTATGGTTTGCGGGTTGAGGATTGGAGAGACATTGAACTTGGGGTCTAATGTAGAACAGCGACAGTTTAGGGTTTAAAGTTTAGGGTTTAGGGCTTCTTCTTGCAGGGTCTTGATACACAAACTCCTTGTGCTGTAAACCATACGGCATGGTCGGTTATGAGCCAAAAGGTAAATCCCAAACTTTGGGAACCCAAAGCCCTAAGCCCGAAACCCCAAAACCCTAAACCCCAAAACCCCAACCAAAACCCTAAATCCCAGAACCCCAAAACCCTAAACCCCAGAACCCTGAACCAGAACTCAGAAGCCCTCAACTATCAATCTCGGACCCTTGAGGTTTTGGGAGGAACCCATCTTTAGAGCCAAATGGGAGTTTCCCAAAATTAGGGGGTGCCTTATTTTGGGGGTCCTTATAATAAGGACCGGGTACTTCTTTTAGGGTTACTATATT